AAGAAATGAAACTTTTTGAGGTTATAAAGGAACCTTTAAGGTTAGGTTATACCAAATTATCAGCCTCCAGTGTGACCAATTCATTTTATATAAATTTTTAAAAATCGCATATCGATTTGACGTTTCTTAAAAGTGTGAATAAAGAAAAATATTATTTTCTCCAAAACTGTTAAGAATAAAGAAATGAAACTTTTTGAGGTTATAAAGGAACCTTTAAGGTTAGGTTATACCAAATTATCAGCCTCCAGTGTGACCAATTCATTTTATATAAATTTTTAAAAATCGCATATCGATTTGACGTTTCTTAAAAGTGTGAATAAAGAAAAATATTATTTTCTCCAAAACTGTTAAGAATAAAGAAATGAAACTTTTTGAGGTTATAAAGGAACCTTTAAGGTTAGGTTATACCAAATTATCAGCCTCCAGTGTGACCAATTCATTTTATATAAATTTTTAAAAATCGCATATCGATTTGACGTTTCTTAAAAGTGTGAATAAAAAAAATATTATTTTCTCCAAAACTGTTAAGAATAAAGAAATGAAACTTTTCGAGGTTATAAAGGAACCGTTAAGGTTAGGTTATACCAAATTATAAGCTTCCGAGGTGAACAATTCATTTTATATAAATTTTTAAAAATCGCATATCGATTTGACGTTTATTAAAAGTATGATTAAAGAAAAAAATTATTTTCTCCAAAACGGCTAAAAATAAAGAAACAAAATTTTTTTATTTCATAAAGGAGCCTTTAAGGTTAAGTTACACCAAATTTAAACATTTCAATGTGAATACTTTAGAAATTATCCAATTTTCAATTTCGTTTTAATGCAAAAAATTATTGTTACAGGATTCGGACGACATCTACCACAACGATAAACAGTTACTTTTCTTTGAACGAAATAATCTCAGCGTTGTAATTGAATATGACGAATTCTTAGATCATTTGCAATTCCATTTTAACTGGGACGGTACTATTTAATCAAATTCTCATTAATACATCATTAATTTAATCGTCTTTTTCAGATTCTTTGCACGAATTCTTAATAGTTACATTAACACACATCCCAAGTACCAACACAAGCATTCATTGTGGTGTTGACATCGAAGAAACCATCTACGGTCCCGATTATTTCCTCGGAAGCAGGGACGAACTCAATTTCGGTTGTACTTATCTCATAACAGTTAATGACAGCTTCGAAAGCCTATCTTTTAATTACTCCATACCTTGTATGATTTATTACATGTTTTTGCAATTATGTGTATCATTAAATAATTCATTTCTAGATTGTGTCGATGGAAAATGCGATTGCAACCATTTCCCGCTACCGATGAACATTACCGTGGAGTATCAACGCAAAGACGAATTTTTAATTGAATGGATTTTTGGGAATCCCCAAGATGAAGCGGTTTTAGTGAACGTCACGTTTATTTCCTACGTAATTGAGAATTGCGGCGATTTTTCTGCATCTCAATACACTTTAATGGAACCTAAATATAAATTATTAGATTCGAATAATTCCGCTTTGATTTTTACCGAAAATCACCCCCATATATGTTTATTAATTACCTTTACAAACAAATTTGGTTGCCCTGAACGATATTTGAGGCGATTAGAAGTCATAAAACAGGTTAAATCAAATAAGTTTTTAAATTCGTGATTTTAAAGATAAATTTTAGGATCTTTCTCCTTGGCTCAACATCTCCTACACGTTTATCTTGGTAATTATCTTATTGGTCATCATAGCACTTTGGTACATCGATAAATGCCGAGGAACAATCAAAGCTTTATTAATCTCGAGGTTTTTAAACCGAAGGCGAAGAAACCACCACAACATTTACGGCTATGCTACCGAAACCACGAAAAAGATCGAAACAAACAATTTGTTGTACATCGAAAGCGAAATTCTCGTAAGTTAATTATCAATAAATTTAATTTTTATAACAATTTTAATTTAAGGAAGGAGAGGTCGATGAATTCGAATTTCCAAGAAACCATTTAAAACTTTTATACGAAATTGGAAAAGGAGCCTTCGGCGAAGTTTATCTTGGAAACGCGCTCGTTAATGGCAAAGAAGAATCGGTCGCTGTTAAAACGTTGCGAGAAAAATCTTCGATTGAAGAGGTCGAAGATTTCAGAGCGGAAATCGATATAATGAAAAAAATCGGGCAACATCCCAACATTGTGACGATGCTGAAATGTTGCACTCTTCACGAACCGTTTATGATGATTATGGAATACGTTCCTTACGGAGATTTGAAGCATTACTTAATGAATTTGAGAGATAAGTGGAAGAAGAAGCTAATTAATTATAATGATGACGTCTACAATGGATCTGGGATGTATATTAACCCAAATTCGCCGAGATTTGAGAAAACGAAGAAGCCTTCAACAAGTAGTAAGTAGTAGTTAATTAAATTTAAAGTACAACTAAGGTCTTGGTTAACTTAGGAAATCATTACGAAGCATTTGGAGCCCTTTTGACATGTTTGAGTGTCATCTGGGAACCTTTAAAAGTAATCAGAAAGTGTTTAGACATTGTTTGATTGTCATGGATTTCATGAGAAACATCTTGGAGATATTTTGACATCTTTCAAAATCTTCTGGAAATCGTCAATAATGCCTAGAATGCGTTTTGGCAGTTTTTGATAATCTTAGAAATTCCTGGTTAGCTTAGGAAATCATTACAAAACATTTGGAGTCTTCTTGACATGTTTGAATGTCATCTGGGAAACTCTAAAAGTAATCAGAAAGAGTTTAGACATTTTTTGATAATCTTTGAAATTCCTAGAAATTCCTGGTTAACTTAGTAAATCATTACACAGCATTTGGAGTCTTTTCGAAATCTTTGAATGACATTTGGGAACCTCTAAAAGTAATTAGAAACAGTTTGGACATTCTTTGTTAATCATGGAAGTCATTAGATAGCTTTTGGAGATATTTTGACATTTTTAAAAATCTTCTGGAAACCATTAAAGATATCTAGAATACATTTAGACAGTTTTTGATAATCATAGAAATGCTTAGCAATTCCTGGTTAACCTAGTAAATCATTGTAAAACATTTGGAGTCTTTTCGAGACGTTTGAATGTCATTTTAGAAACTCTATAAATAATTAGAAACAATTTGAACATTTTTTGATAGTCATGGAAGTCATTAGATAGCTTTTGGAGATATTTTAACATTTTTAAAAATCTTTTGGCAAACCTTAAAGATATTTAGAATACATTTAGACAGTTTTTGATAATCATAGAAATCTTTAGAAATTCCTGGTTAACTTAGTAAATCATTGTAAAGCATTTGGTCTCTTTTCAAGATAGTTGAATGTCATTAGAGAAACTCTAAAAGTAATCAGAAAGAGTTTAAACAGTTTTTAATAATCATATATATATCTTTAGAAAGTCCTGGTTGACTTAGTAAATCATTGTAAAGCATTTGGAGTCTTTTCGAGACGATTGAATGTGATTTAGGAAACTCTATAAGTAATTTGAAAGAGTTTGGACATTTTTTGATAACCATGGAAGTCATTAGGGAGCTTTTGGAGATATTTTGCCATTGTTAAAAATCTTCTGGAAAACATAAAAGATATTTAAAATATATTTAGACAGTTTTTGATAATCATAGATATCCTTAGCAATT